ATCTGTCCTAAAAGGCTCTTAGATTGCCCTTCTTTTCAACTCGTAGCCGGCAAATGGTCTGCCAGAATACCTTGTTTGCCGTGTGGCAATTCGACTCCAACACCTCACTGAACTTCTCCCAAGATTGAGCTTTGGCTTTCGCCACTGCTTTTGCTGCCGCCTTACGTACGAGTAGAAGGCTCTTTGTTTCCAAGCGTCTTCGTGAAACGCGCCTTCTCTGTATCTGCTAGTTATACCTCTAGAGTCCACCAGGAAGATCTGTTCTGACCTCCACGTGGCAGAGTAGCCCGTTTGAATTCGCAGTTTTCGGCGGCAATCTCGAGCAGGCGACTGTTAAAGTTCTGCCACTCGGTTTCCACATTGGCGGTCGTCACCGGGATCTGTTCAAACCTTCGTGCAATGTTATTTGCAAATTTCGCTCTCGTGTCCACTGAAAATATTGTTTCCTATTTGATTCCCTGGTTGCTTCTGCCAGCAGATCTTCGTATGGTGCTCCATTTCTTTCACGCAGCGTGATAGCAACAAGGTGATGATCGGTTGATTGCTCTTCGCCTCTCTTAACGCGAACATCCATTACTGAACGTCTTAAATCGGACGATATGATTATCAAATCGATTATCGACTTCTCTGCACAGGCTTCACGGTACCAGGCATACTGATGCATTCTTCCTCAGTCCGTTGTTTGCACTGAACCGCGGTAACTTCATGCCATTATTTTTGAGATCGCTAGGGCCGTTTTTTCCAATCACGCCGTTCCACTTTTCAGCGTCTACTCCGATATGCGCGTTAAAGTAGCCCATGAGTATATGGGACTTTGTTTTCGGGACCGGACAGAGCACACTGCACTTCCTCAAGGAAGGTATCATATTCTCCTCCAAATTGAGCGCGTAGACCTGTAACAAGGTCAGCGGTTTAGCCTGTTATAGCTTCAGTCTGAAGATTACTACCCTTCCGCTGGCAGGCTTCCAATCAATGATTCTATCTGCGTGGTTTGGTTCTACCAAAACACCAACACCGGTCTAAGCGCGTATCATGATATCGAAACTTGAGTAGAATAGCTTATAGTAATGGCCGCTTTTTCGCGGTATGCCTCAGGCCCGCACAGCCTGCCCGGCCATTGGTAACCCGGGCTACGACCTACCCGGTATAATTTTCGATATCGTCAATACCATGAGTGGCAGTGGGGAAGTTTTAGGGAGATTTCGCCACAGTCTCTAACCGTCCTTATTTCTGAACGGTGCTTGGGAGTGGCAACGGAGTAGTTATTTAGTATATTTACCAACCACAATTTGTACTAGTTATGCAGCTTAGCCATCTAGAATTGAAGCCGAATTAAAGAATTAAGGGGCATGAACCAAGCAGCGTTGCTGTTTTGTTACTGAGTTTTGCATGGGTACGCCAGAATACCGTGGGTGGGGTGCTGTGGTGATAAAGTGATAAATCCCGGGGATGTCCGGTTCTGATCTCGAGAAAGGACAAACTTCGTCTTTACTATTAATGTCCTTGAGAGAACATTGACCACGTGTTGTTTTGGCCATTTAACCGACAAACGGTTAAAAGGTCTTTGACTTTCGCATAACGAGGAAAATGTGATAATCGGATGTGGTCATATAGGATTGACGGAAGGATACAGCGTTTTTTTGATACGAGTGCCTCTTGTGTCTACAGTTCACCTCTTTTCACTTATTTACGCGTGAATAAGACATAATTCGGCTGTTACGTGTGAGAGGTGCTTGAATGAGACATAATCATCTTGCCTCTCACCTTTTTTTCGTATGACCGTACCAGAACACCATGTTTCCCTATGGTATTCAACAGTCAGTAATTGCGGCCCGTTTCTCGGCTGGTTGTGCCAAAGCAGACGTTAGGCAAATTCTTTGTTGATGTGAATTCGCCGCTTAGACAAAGATTGTCGCTTCTACGGAATAGACCTCAGCACTTCCGGCGTTCGAGATCGACCACACTGTCACCGTGATACGACACTTCTGTATACCTCTGCTTCTTAGCGCGTTTGTCTAAACGGAGATTGTGCGCGACGGTTTGGAGAGGCTTTAGCTGTATATTGTTTTAGGTCCAGAAATGATGTTGGCTGTGAATGAGGAAGCGGTGCGGAAAATTGGCGATATCCTCTCGGACAAAAGTGCTCCTTTGAAGAAACGGTTCAGGGCGCTCTTCACCCTTCGTACTATCGGCGGCTGCTTGGCTATCGACCTTATAGCCAAGAACTTCACTGACTCTTCGGCATTACTGAAACACGAGCTCGCTTACTGTCTGGGCCAAATGCGGGATACTTTCGCCCTGCCGACTCTGAGGGATGTATTGTCCGATGAAACGCAAGAGACGATTGTCAGACACGAAGCCGGTATGCCGAAGATTAAGCTTTTAAAGTTTAATTTATATTTCTTTACTATATTCTTCAATATTTTACGGTTTTCCACAGAGCATATTGTACCGGTGGCAACAAACTCAGATAGTTGGTACTTCATTGACTTGTCTGTTTTTGTTTTGTCTCCGACTCGCCTTATTGCCGTCACCTTTCTTCCCTTAATCTAGATGATGAAGTTAACCGACTGTATCGCTTACTCAGGCTGAATGAAAGCCGTTATTTCCAAGGAATTTGCCAGTTGCGTTTGCTTTTTAGGTTCTTTGGAGAAAGCCGTTTGTTGAGCCTCCTTCAAGTAGGACTCACTTGTTGCGCTTTTTGCCGCATATGCGGATGTGTGGGAACATGCAAGAGACCGTGTGCTACGATGGCCACCGATCAAGTTATTACAATCTAGTTTGACTCTTGTTACGTCCATTTATCTTCGTTGGAAAACTCGTTTCAAAACCTCCGCGTTGGGGGTCCCTGTATTCTTATAAATTTTCTTGCACGTTAGTGTATACATAAAGAATGATCGCGTTACCTCACATTTGCAGATGCACCGTATCAGTTTCTTGTGTATGTGATACTCAACATAGATCGGTAATTCTTTCTTGCGTGACAATAGCCGACGTGACCTTAGTCGAAGCCTGTTGTCAGGCTTTAGGGATAAAAATTGTCTGTAGTGCACCTGTATTAAATGTGCTAAAGCAGCAACGAAATTATTTTTGCGTTATTTCTGTGAACGTAGAAACATAGAAACGCTTGCCCTAAACGTAGGCGATGTATCAACCAATCAATCAATTTCGATAACTGCCTGTGCGTTCGGGTCGCGAAGGTAGGCGCGTCAGACAGTGCTTCTAACATTCCCGATCCTGTGCCAGACTGTCTTCGGCAGAAGACAATCGTAATCTAGAGCAGTCTTCTTCCATATAATTAAACCAGGTTAATTTTGGCCCTCCCCTGGGCCTTCTGCTGGTCGGCTGAGTAAGCAGTAATTTCTCAGTCTGGTTAAGTAGATGATATATAATAATTTTTTAAGCAAAAATAAATTTAACTTTGAGTTGCTCAATAACAAGCTATATGCTTAGATATATACTTATGAAAATAAAGCAATCGGTGAGTTTCATTATCTCGCCAAAGAAGGTTGGAAACTACTGTAGAAATCTGATTCTATCTGAACAGGAATTTATCATCTATACGTAATTCAAGTAAAGGTTTTTCTTAGTTATTCATTGTCTCTCACGATGACTACACGGTGTTAAATTAATTTTTGAGGCTTAGACTAATCTCTTTTCAAGCAATTTGTCGTATGTAATAGGCAGATACAGAACAACAGTAATTTAGCCCCTTGTAAAATTGGAATATCATTTCTTGTGCGTGAATTGTCTGAACATGTTGCTGCCTTTCTGCTACTGATTATGACTTAAAAAGGCGAATATTTTAAAAGCGATGTTTAGGAGAGGCGATTGGAGCCATCGGCGACAGCAGTCAAATGGAGTTTTTGGAAAAATATAGAAATTCATCCATACAGACAGTAAGGCGTTAAACAGGCGGAAATGTGTTGTGAATCAGCGTGCGTATTTAAGATTGCAGAAACCTGTGAACTAGCATGTCAGAGGCTTCAGTGGTGGGCAGCGGTCGACGAAGAGGAAAGACAGTTGGCCGAAAACGTTTATGATTCTGTTGGTAAGCATCTACTACGGTATTCATGTATTTCTCTCCATTTGCCTTTTTTAGACCCTGCTCCTTCTGAAGTTTCGGATTGCATTAAAGAGAATGTATGTTCATTGGAAAGAACTCTTCTGGATGAGAAAGCACAACTTTGGAACCGCTATAGAGCTCTTTTTGCACTGCGTAACATAGCTAGCGACGAAGCCATTCTTTCAATTTCGAAAGGTATGAATTTGTTCTGGGAATCCTTAAAGCTGGTGAAGTACAATCAGTGGTATGCTTCGTTTTTAAACGATAGTAGATAGACGATACTTTGATTCACTGTTATCTTACAGCAGGCATCTGTTTTGTTTTAGTGCCTGTGATGTACCATTTTCATTATCATCCTCATCTTCCATGACCTTTTGTCCTTTCGAGACGCACAGGTAGACAGGTTACCCACTTCTTCCAACGTTCCAGATCCTGTGCCAGAGTCTGCGCTTCGACAGAGGACAAGTGGAGTCTTTAGCACACTCTTTCCTTATAGTTGCACCAGATTGATCTTGGTCGTACTCTCGGCCTTCTGCCAGTCGGTTGGACAAGAAAGGACTTCCTTTCTGGAGGCATTCGCAACACATGCTCAAACCATCGCAG